GCTCGTGCCATCTCGGAGCTTTGTTCTTTAGTATCAAGAAGCCTTATTATATTGGCTTTGAACTTGATGGGGACACATTGACATTGATGTCGATGATCTATTTAAAAAACCTTGTGTAATTTTTCTTTTAGTTTTTTTTTTCTTAAAAGTCAAACGTATAGTTGATGTATCTCTGTTAACGTTTGACTTCGTCTTCTTTCGAGTGATCTAGTACCGCAAAAACACTGACGATAGGGGTTTAATGCCTATTTCACGATCATTGTTTCGATCTGCTATCGTTTCTCGCCCTCATTCGTTCGTTCGTTGTTAAGAGTTGTTACAGGGAAACATGCAGAGAATAAAAAAATATAAAGCACATAAAACATAAGAGATACATTTTTGATTTTGGGTCTTCAAATTACAATTTTGTTTTCTTACTTGGAAATAATTATGTGCTTCCCTCTTTTTCATCATACATTTGGTGTTTACACTTATACATGATTACACATCAAAACATTATATATTTTTGCAAAGACGTTAACCTTCTTTTTTTTTTGGCTGGTTTTCACTCGCAAGCAAGTTTAGTGCCGAAACTTGTGAGACAGATAGCAAAAGCCTGAAAAGCAGAGAGAGGCTGTCTATAATCCATGGTGAAAGTGTCATCTCCAACTTTACCAAACTGAAGAAGCACCGTCTCTTCATCTCCTTTACCGCTCGGTTGGCTCTGGTCAACGGTCGCAGCCAGCTGAAAGTTCTTGACCGAAGCAACAGTTACTCGTCCATGGAAGTTCAGACACCAACATTGTAAGTGCTCGTGCCATCTAGGAGCTTTGTTCTTTAGTATAGTGAAGCCTGAACCGTCCTTGTTGGGTTTTTTCATCATCTTGGTGACATCACATGGCTTCTGGTCGGAACAAAGTCCAGTGGAAGATGATGATGATGACGACGGTGACGATGGTGGTGATGAGGATGGGCAACGGAGCGTGCTTACCATTCTTCTAGGACCTCTTGATTTCAAGAGGTTGAATTTATAAGAAACGTGACCGACTTCAAAGTTGCCTGCTGGAACTTGAGGGCTTATCTGCTTCGATGCGAATCTGCGACTGGCTTTGCCATTTGAAGGCTTTGCTCCGTTATGTGGCGGTTGGCTATCGTATACTGTAAAGTTGGTCCCAAGAAAATCCGATCTGCATAAGTTCCCAAAGAAACCATGAGTATTAGTTTTTTTAGATCCACTGTTCTTCGAAGCAGAAATGATGAAATCCTTTAAAGATACTCAAGACTTCAATTCAGCAAATTTAAAACTTGTGAGAAGAAGAACCTTGATATCACAAGATGACAAGACCAAATGGCCGCCTAGGATATTCAATGTTGCACATATTAGTACCTTAATTTCCCAACGTAGGCATTACTTCCTTGAGAGAAATCATCAGCATCAAGAGATATAATGTACTCAGTGTAAGCACCGGTCCTGAACCTCCGTGCCGCCAGAAGAAACTTTCCCTTATCAGTGAATGCTGGTGGACAAATTAAAATAAAGTAATAATTACTCAGAAAGATCCTTTTGTTAGCCAACAAACAAGCGCAGAGCAAGGTCTGAAAGATAATGCTAGCCAAATATTAATCAACAATCTTGCCGCCAAGAAAGAATCCTGACCGATAACTTAAATGAAGTATAATCGAAAACTGTTTCAACTTGTTCCAAATCTGAGCTTTGTTAACCCAAACTATAATGAAACTGGATTTAACCATATGACAGAAATGCATTGCAATTTGCCACATCGAAAAGTTTCCATTCAACTTTGAGGAACACATTAGACTGCAGCGCAGAATCTTCTTCATTATCGCACAGGTCAACAACATAGTCAACACTTATTTATAACAATTGGCTGGTGAGTTCTTCCATGGACTATTCAAAGGCATTAATTGATACAAGACTGAGACAAGTTAAATCAATCGCCAAGGAAGTCACTTCCACACTTAAAACCTACCTAGACTATTCAATAATAAAGTCATGAATTTTGACAGAATCAACCGTTGAATGACTTACATGGTGTTAGAGAGAGATACAAGTAAAAGGTTGATGTCTTCTTGTTCCTCTTTATCAAGCACTGATTAGAAAACTCTCGGGGACCTGGCTGCATCTCAGAGGAAACTAAGAAATCTCAGTACCCATTTTCGATTGCTCGTAACAACAAAAGGAAAGCGAAACACTCAAGTGATAATAATATAATCAAATAGCCTCCTTGTTGAGATTGATTAAAAGAATGTAACTTAAGGCTAAAGCAAGAACAATCACAATTGGGAATAAGTTCAAGAGTAAATTTTTTCAGTTACAGTAGCAAGTATTCATTCAAACATGATCAAATTTCTAGAAAAACTTGCATTTCCCTTGGCCCAGACATGTTCACCAATATCGATTCTTAATCAGAGAACAAAAATCCAACTTTTCAGAAATCAGAAAGATGTGTAATCTAAATCCTAAAACTCAAACTAAAACGACAAAATCCAAAAAGGCCAAAGATATCTATCTCTAGGAAGAAATTGAGAATTAAAGAAAAAAGAAGCTACCAGTTTTAGGCAAGAAGGGAAAGTAATTTTGCCGGAGTTATTAGGGAATTTAACAATATCCTGGGTAATTCCTCTCCACTTCTTCGAGACGCAGGCGCAAGTGACGACGTCTCGACGTTGAGGCCACTGGTCTTCGCTCTCCTCCACGCGGCGTATGATCTCGCCCAATAACTCAGGGAGCATCGCCGACCATGACCCAGGCGTATCCGACGACGGCGGAAGCATCGGCGATTCGTACGAATCGGCTTCCGGTGTCGTCTTTCCCTGATCCCTGAACGAAATCGAGATCCTCCGCGATAGGAGGGACCGTGACAAAGGCATTTGTGTGGAGAGCCAAGTTCGATCTGGAAATAGGAGGAGAGAGAGAGAGAGAGCGAAAGAGGTGAGAGAAAGGATGAGATGTTATTTTTTTTGGGGGAAATCTGAGAAAAAAAAAATACGAACGTGCGAAATCTAAAAAGAGTGATATTTAGGGTAAAAGTGACATTGCTGTGAGATATGAATAGGTGACAGAACTGGTGAAAATGGAACACGTCTCTCCACTTATATAAATGGTGTAAAAGTGAAAATCTGACTGAGTTTTCCTTTTTTGTTAGATCAATATAAAAGTGAAACATTCATCCACAATTAGAGTAAAAAGAAGCGAAAAAGGAATAATTATTTAGCCGATAACTACACTTTTATACTCCAAAGTTAAAAAGTTTTAATCATATGTAAGGTAAAAAAGTTTTCAAGATTTGTATAAATATTAGAGGGATATAATTTTACATTCTTTGTGTTTCAATTAATTTTGAAGACATTGAATGTTGTGTTACATATATAGATTAAAAATTCGTTTAAGATATTTTTTCAAAATTAAAACGTCACATATTATTTACTTACAACTACTAAACCAATAATCAAACAAACTGTAAAATACAGATAATCACATATATAAAAATGAAAAGTATTTAATTTGCATTAAAAATTGTAAACATCACTTGAAATAAAACAAAAAAATTTAGGTGAAACATTCCTTAATATGAAACAGAAGAAATACTGTAAAGTCTAAAGATTATTTATAGTTCTTTGTAATATTTTCTCACTCTTGGGGGGAGTTTGCAGATAAAAAATCACTAGTACAAATTGCTAAATATGCCACGATACACCATCAAACGTTCCACCTCCAGTGAGAGTTAAGCCGTTGATCCAACCAAAATTCAATCTAACCACCGCCTGATCTCTACTTTCACACGGATCAATCTATTATATTAAAACAGAAGCACATTTAATATTTGCTTCTAAACACTCCTAATTTTTTTTAAGTATTTAAAAATAATTTTAATAATTATTTATATTTAATTTTAAAAATTAGTTACTAATTTAAATATTTTTAGAGTTCCTTAAATATAGGTAATTTAGATTTGATTTGATTTGATTAAAAATAATAAATCAGATATTAATTTAGATTTGATTTAAAGATTCTAATTTAAATAATTTCTATACTATTAAACATTTTTATCAAAAATATGTAGAATTTTTGAAAAAAAAATAATTCACATATGAAAAATAATGGTCATATTTAAAATATAAAATATTTATAATGATGTAAATGATATGATATTTATGTTGCTTATATAATATATTTACTATTATAATTTATACAAATTAATAATAAAATAATAGGTAAAATTCAAATGTATAATTTAAATATTAAAAAAATATATTTTTTAAAATTTATAGAACTAAAAATATATATAAAAACCGGGTTAAAAATATTTTGGTAACTAAAATTACTAATTTTGAATTATACATGTATCTCGAAAATATATTTTTCATACAAAATAAAAACATAAAAATTAAAAATTATTGCATACACTAAAATGTGGTTTGAAAAACCAGTTGTACACTCCATTCGTTGATTATATTTTAAAAACTATAATGCTAAATAATACTGTTAATACATCTCAAACTTTTAACAAATATTTATATTATACGGTAATATGAACGGAAAAGTTAGAATTATGTTTTTATAATAGTTCATTTTGAATTAATATTAGCGGACGGGTAAAAATTATATTTTTATAATCATAATTAATTTTAATACTATAAAAATATATCTAAACACAAAAATTAATATTTTCATTTATTAAAAAATATATTTATAAAAATAATTATATCTAAACTCAAAAACAAAAATTATATTACAAAATTCGTTATATAATAAAAAATATTCTGTGCGGATACACGGGGTTAGAATTTAGTTGATACCTTAAAAGACAAAGGCAAATCTAAAAGCCAATACAAATAGGAATATTCCCAAACTAATTAATAAAGATCCCATGATCACGTGATGAGAATAAAAGTGCAAATTAAAAACTAGCTGTATTATAAAGTTGAAATCCGTATACAATTTCACCAGGAATAATGTCACAAGATTTGAAATCCAAAATTTAATATATAGTCTCAACTTATGAAGCCTTGAACACACTTGCATAATTAAGTGTCATATTCTCTGCATAGTCTAGGAAAACATGTTTAGGACGACGAACAAACTCTTCAAGTCCCTGAATTTCGACTCTAGTACAAGTGTTACTCTCGATATTGTAGTAAAAAAGGTAGAAGGTAGGGTTTGTTTGAAAGGACCGTGAAAACACAATTTCACCAACATCAGTCACTCCAACTATGCAAAAACGGTTCGGCATCTCGTCGTAGCATAAACCAGGAAGTACGCATATACTTTTGGACCATTTATGTTCTCCAGCAATATCTTCTAGAACCCACAACTCAAGTTCGTCTTGGTTCGAACCTCTTATAAACCGATGTGCACATAATTTACCTTTGTAGTTGGTCAGTTTTTGATCAAACTCTATCATTTCTCTATCGACCTCAATAAAGCTGAACTTCTCAAACCTCAAGTCAAAGCAAGCTATCATAAAAGACCTTTTAAAGCCAGCTTTGTAGTACAAAACACCATTTATGCATATTCCATTTCCAAAGGCATCGTGGGGTTTGCATTCCATGGTGCTTCTCCATAAACAATTTTCATTCCCCAGTGTCAAAACCCAATGAGTATTGGGAGCTGGTCTTACATAGCATGCACACGTCAAACACAACACTTTGAACTGTTTGCTGATCGGATCATAGCCAAAATAGCACCTTTCTTCAATAAGCTCCCTCCTTTTCATTGTGGGCATACGTAAGGTTATGGACTCTCCCGTGACGGGGTTACAAATCACCCGCACCGTTCTTCCCGTTTCATGAAGAAAGACCAATCCACTTAGAGGAGGACAGATTTCGGATGGGAAATATTTTGGAAAATAATTATAACGGGTGGCTACAAGGGAACATCTCTTAACTGGATTCTGAGGTTGAGGTGAAGAGTATACGAAAAACTCATTATTCACTTGGATAGCGAACAAGATCCGTGGACGTGTCCAAGACTTAGTCAGAAACAGCTCAGTGAAATCAGGACGACCAAGTATAGATCCCCAGTATTTCGACACGCAACGAAACCTAGCTATAGATTTTGCAGTGACTCTCGAGAATATATCGATAAGCAGATCAGATGGGATCGGGTCTGAACATTCTCTTACCGAGTTCGAAGATTGTGTGATCAATAGATCCTCGGAAAACTGCTGCTCCAGGTTTTTCATGGCGGCTTTTTCAAACCCTAAAAGAATCACCACCTTTCACGTGAGCTTTACTCTAACGAAATAAATCGACTTCTTTCCACGGTTTAAATTGACTTTTATATCCAACGATCCTATATGGGCTCTATTAGGCCCAATACGTTTTGAATCACCCATTTTTGCCCGCTTGCGTTTTTGTTAGATTATTGAGCTTTTATTTTTAATTTCCAAGTTAAAAATCCATGTCCGCCGTGAAACCTGTCTCCTCCTTCAGGCTCGCCTCTCTCCTCCGCCGTGAGAAAGATCCTTCCACCGCCATTAAGCTTTTCCGGAACCCTGATCCAGTATCAACGAACCCTAGTAGACCATTCAGATACTCGCTTCTTTGCTACGATATCATCATCACGAAACTTGGTCGATCCAAGATGTTTGACGAGCTAGATCAGGTCCTCCTCCAGCTCAAGTCCGATACTCGGATCGTTCCGACGGAGATTCTGTTCTGCAACGTCATCAGTTATTTCGGCCACGGGAGATTACCCAGCCGTGCGCTCCACGTGTTCGACGAAATGCCTCAGTATCGCTGCAAACCCACTGTGAAATCTGTGAACTCTCTGTTGAATGCGCTCTTAAAGTGTGGAGATTTCGACAAAATGAAGGAAATTCTTTCGAAGATTGATAAGTTTGGTGATCCAGATGCTTGTACTTACAATATATTGATCCATGGATGTTCTCTGAGCGGGCGTTTCGATGATGCCTTGATGCTATTCGATGAAATGGTTAAGAGAAAAGTGAAGCCCACTAGTGTGACCTTTGGGACGCTGATTCATGGGTTTTGCAAGAATTCGATGGTGAAGGAAGCGTTGAAGATGAAGCACGATATGTTGAAAGTGTATGGAGTTTCTCCCACGGCTCACATTTACGCATCGTTGGTTAAAGCGCTATGTCAGATTGGTGAATTGAGTTTGGCGTTTAAGCTAAAGGATGAGGCGTACGAAGGAAAGATCAATGTAGACTCAGCTATCTTCTCTACGTTGATTAGCTCGCTTATAAAAGCTGCAAGGTCAGACGAAGTCTCGGGGATCTTGGAGGAAATGAGAGCAAAAGGATGCAAACCCGACACGGTGACTTACAATGTACTGATTAACGGGTTCTGTGTTGAGAATGATTTCGAATCAGCTTATCGAGTTTTGGATGAAATGGTTGAAGAGGGTTTGAAACCAGATGTTATAAGCTACAACATGATACTTGGTGCCTTGTTCAGAATCCAAAACTGGAAAGAAGCAACTTACTTGTTTGAAGATATGCCCAGAAGAGGTTGCGTCCCTGATATCTTGTCTTATAGAATAGTTTTCGATGGGCTCTCCGAAGCTTTACAATTCGAAGAAGCAGAGGTTATCTTGGAAGAAATGCTTTTCAAAGGCTACAAGCCTCGCAGGGATAGGCTAGAAAGATTTCTGCAAAGGCTTTGTGAGAGTGGAAAGCTGGAGATTCTCGGTAAAGTTATCCGTAGCTTGCATAGAGGGAATGTTGTTGATGCAGATGTCTGGTCGGTTATAATGTCTACAGTGAGCAAAGAACCTGTGATATCGGATTCGATTGATTTGGTGTTAAACACATTGAAGGAAGAGGGTCCTTTATCAACAATGCCGCAATGCTAGGTCACTTGTCGTGCAAGTTAATGTTGCTGTGAACCTTGTTGGGTGGGCATTGGGCAGGATGGATTATCTGCAGACAAACTTGAGTAAATTCTGCATTATTGATTTAGAGGTTGAAGATTCAGTGATATCCTTAAAGGTGTTGGAAGACATCTAAATTTCTTCAGTTGGTACTACTAGTCTTTGTCCAGTGAAGATCCGTTGTTGAGGCTATCTAAGACCTAAACAGACAAGAATTAGGAGAAGAGGTATGTAAGGTTGTTTTCGTAATTTTAACTTCCGAGAACCCTACTTTAATTTCAGGTTGTTGTTTTCTTTTATTAGCTCAGAGGTTTTTTTTGTCCTGAGAGCTCTTTCCTCTTCGGCTTCTCTGCTCGGTACTTTTTTTCATGTAATCTTACTCTTCCCAAATTCATCAATTCCCTTAACAAGAAAACAGATTCCCACTCTGAAATTTTGATTTTTCGTTAATTGTTTGATGATTACTTCTGCATATATCTGACATAAGAGCTTTTTATCAGTTTCTCTTCTCGAGTTTCCTGGTGACCTTATATTGATAAACTTAGGTCTCTGCCATAGTCATATTCGATTAGCGCTTAGACATGAGCTTTGGAGCTCTGTGTTTCAAAGGTTTTGATTTTTTTTTTTTCATTTATTTTACTTTCAAAAGTTGTTTGGTTTCAGGAATGAATCTTGGAGTGAAGATGGTGCAGAAGAAGATGGCGGTTCTATACCATTATCCATGCCATGACGGTGTCTTCGCCGCCTTGGCCGCTCATCTCTATTTCTCAGCAAATTCAATCCCTTCGCTTTTCTTCCCCAACACAGTTTACTCTCCAATCACAACCAGCCAACTTCCTCTTCAAGAAATCAGCCATCTCTTCCTTCTTGATTTCACAGGACCGCCTGGTTTCGTGCACCAAGTCTCTCCGAAAGTCGACAGTGTGGTGATCCTCGATCACCATAAAACCGCTATTGAGAGCCTAGGGGATGTCTCTTTGACTTGCAAGAACGTTACCAAAGTCTTGGATATAGGGAGAAGCGGTGCGACCATTGCGTTTGACTATTTTACTCAGAAGCTGATGGAAGAATCTCGGGGAAATTGCAGAGAGATGAATGATTTCAAGAGAATGAGGCGTGTTTTCGAGTACATTGAAGACGCTGATATCTGGAAGTGGAAACTTTCGGAGAGCAAAGCATTCAACAGCGGGATCTTGGACTTAGGGATCGAATACGATTTCAATCAGAACCACTCACTGTTCCAGCAGCTACTTTCATTGGATCATGACAGTGTGATCAACAGAGGAAAAGAGAGTTTGTCTAGGAAACTAAAGCTGATTCACCAGGCGCTGGAACTGTCATACGAGATTGTTCTTGGAGGTGATGAAGAGTTTGGCGGTGTTTGGCTGTAAACGCAGATGAGATTGCAGAGCTTAGAAGCGAATTAGGGAATCAATTGGCTGAGAAGAGCAAGAATCTGAAATTCCGAGGTATTGGAGCTGTTGTTTACAGAGTTCCTGAGCTTGGAGATGAGAACAAGCTGAAAATAAGTTTAAGGAGTGTTGCAGAAGAAGACACAACACCGGTTTCTCAGAAGTTTGGTGGTGGTGGCCATAAGAACGCGAGCTCCTTCCTGCTAAGTTCCATGGAGTTCGAGAAATGGAAGGTGAATAGAAACTTATAGATTAGGCTAGAGATGTTTCCTCAATCAGCTATTTAGTTCTTTATGGAATGTCTAGTTTGGTTCATGACATTGCCAATTTTTGGTACAAGTAGAAGTGTCTAATCTGGTTTTTGGTTTAAGAGAAAAATAGTAACCAGTGTAAAATCAATTCTACTATGAATAATTCTATCTTTTATAGTATGTTTTATCTTATAACTTTCGGTTTAGTTTTGCTCATTTTCAGCTCGTTTGGATTCGAGTTTTTTGGAATTTCAAAAGGTATAACTAATTGTAACCGTTATTGTACTCTTTGTTCGATAGAGAAACTCTCCACTTGAGGTATTTCACACGAATAGAGAAACATATAGAAATTCTAGGGAACCAGTTCTAGAATTTAGAGACGAATAGTTGGACAATAATTAGACCTCTAAAGACTAAAGAGCAATGTTTATAGCGAAAACATTTTATTAAAATCGGTGGTGATATAACAGTGGTGCAAGCACAAATTACGGAGACTACATGTACTGTTATAATATTTGAAAAAGACCAAAACCATATGAGGTCAAAATGTCCGTGATGGCTTCCGCTTTTATTATTACTACACGAACAGAGAACCTCTTGAAGAAACAGAGAGAGAAACAAACTGGTCGTTTCTTTGAGGCCAAGTTGTCGTTTTGGTCTCTCTCTCTCTCTCTCTCTCTCTCTCTCTCTCTCTCTCTCTCTCTCTCTCTCTCTCTCTCTCTCTCTCTCTCTCTGGAAACAAAAGAGAAAGAAGAGGGGAAAGAGACTGAGAAGAAGAAGATGAAGAGTTTTGGAAGCATAAGATCGATACTCGTGCACGCGGACGGTGTAGATTGGCTGCTGATGGGATTAGGGCTAATCGGAGCCGTCGGTGATGGCTTCACAACTCCTCTTATTCTTTTCATCACCAGCAAGCTCATGAACAACCTTGGTGGTTCCTCTTCCAACACTGAAACCTTCATGCAAAGCATCGATAAGGTCCCTTTCAATTCCAATTTGTCCAAAAAACGGTCCTTTCAATTCCGATTGAAACGTAACTTGGTTCTTCTAATTAGATCTTATGTTAAAAAAAAAAACTTTTGTTTTTGAAGTTTTTCTCGATGGTTTATTGTCCTGAATCTGTTTACATCTTGTGCGAATATTAATAACATTACAAACTGCTATGATGTATAAATGTAAAGGTAGTAGTCAGCACGTCAAACATATAAAAACCAGATTTGACTCCTCCGAGTCATTTTTTTATAACTTCAATCTATGATGATGACACATGCACTATGTTTGATTACAACTACACCATTTTGGGTAATAAACAGTATTCCGTAGCTTTGCTTTATGTGGCTTGTGGATCTTGGGTCGTCTGTTTCCTTGGTAAGCCATTTCTAATAATGTTTTCTATATAGTTGACCCCAACGATCGAGATTGTATTTTAACTTGTGGATCGAACTAATATTAAGAAAAAAACAAACAGAAGGATATTGTTGGACAAGAACAGGAGAGAGACAAACAGCAAGAATGAGAGAAAAGTATTTAAGAGCAGTATTAAGACAAGATGTGGGCTACTTTGATCTTCATGTCACAAGCATTTCTGATGTTATCACTAGTGTCTCTAGTGACAGCCTCGCTATCCAAGACGTGCTCAGTGAAAAGGTCTCTCACGTGTTTTTTTTTTTTTTTTAATTATCATCTTTCATCCTAATCATTAATTATTTTTCTTTGTTTTCTAAACAGTTTGTTTGTTTGTTTGTTTTTGATGAATTTTATTTGGTGCAGTTACCGAATTTTTTGACGAGCGCATCAACGTTCGTTGGAAGCTACATAGTTAGCTTTGTTTTGCTATGGAGACTCGCCTTGGTTGGTTTACCTTTCATTGTCCTCTTAGTGATCCCAGGACTTATGTATGGTCGAGCCCTGATGAGCATTTCAAGAAAGATACGCCAAGAATACAATGAGGCTGGTTCCATAGCTGAGCAGGCCATCTCCTCGGTGCGAACCGTCTACGCGTTTTCAGGGGAGAGGAAGACGATATCAAGGTTCTCAACCGCGCTTCAAGGGTCAGTGAAGCTAGGGATTAGACAAGGTCTCGCTAAAGGAATCACCATTGGAAGCAATGGAATCACTTTCGCCATTTGGGGGTTCATGTCTTGGTATGGAAGCCGGATGGTCATGTACCATGGTGCTCAAGGTGGTACCGTCTATACAGTTGCCACCTCTCTTGCAATCGGCGGCCTGTAAGTATACTAGAAAGTGTTGCTTGAGCATATAATGAAAGATGCAAACCGATCAAACCAAAATATAGATTGAAAATATTACCCGTTTAGATTTTCAATATCGTATCGAAAATAGTTTTATAAGTTCTTTTTATTTTCTTAACAAGAGATGATGATACATTGACGGAAATAGCACAAACCAACCATAAGACTACTATATCATATTTAGCTTTCTCTAAAACATGTTAGCACGTGAGATATTTATATTAGTTCAGTTTCATATACATTTATGGATATTATGGTAATTGAGTTAAACTCAACATGTACGTTTCTTTTCATATAGTAGTGTTTATTTTTCCTATAACAAAATTTTTTTGTATTGATCTTCAAAAGACCGTATCGTGATCATGATCTTGATCTTTGGTATCTTTGTTATATTTGTTACAGAGCACTTGGTAGTAGTTTGTCTAATTTCAAGTACTTCTTCGAGGCGTCTTCAGCTGGGGAGCGAATGATGGAAGTGATAAACAGAGTTCCCAAGATTGATTCAGACAATCCGGAAGGGCAAAAGCTGGAGAAAATTAGAGGAGAAGTTGAGTTCAAGAACGTTAAGTTTCTATATCCATCGAGACCTGAAACATTGATCTTTCACGATTTTTGTATGAGAGTTCCTTGCGGAAAAACCTTGGCTTTGGTGGGAGGAAGCGGGTCAGGAAAATCAACTGTGATATCGCTTTTGCAAAGATATTATGATCCGGTTGCAGGGGAGATTCTTATAGATGGTGTATCCATTGATAAGCTGCAAGTGAAGTGGTTGAGGTCACAAATGGGTCTAGTTAGCCAAGAGCCTGCGCTTTTCGCCACATCAATAAAAGAAAACATATTGTTTGGTAAAGAAGATGCATCTATGGATGATGTTGTGGAAGCTGCCAAGGCCTCTAATGCTCATACTTTCATTTCTCAGCTGCCTCATGGCTATGAAACTCAGGTTAGTTTCCAATTTTGGCACGGATATTGATTGCATATAGTCTTATTAAAGATTAATTTACTTTTTGAGTAAACAAATAGGTTGGGGAGAGAGGAGTGCAAATGTCAGGAGGACAAAAGCAGAGGATAGCAATAGCACGTGCAATAATCAAATCGCCAATAATTCTTCTATTAGACGAGGCAACAAGCGCATTGGACTCTGAATCAGAAAGAGTAGTCCAAGAAGCCTTAGAAAATGCATCGATTGGTCGTACAACTATTCTTATTGCTCACCGTCTCTCCACCATCCGTAATGCTGATGTTATCTCAGTGGTCCAGAATGGTCACGTCGTGGAAACCGGGTCACACGATGAGCTAATGGAAAACTTAGATGGTCAATACACTTCACTTGTCCGCTTACAACAGATTGAGAAAGAAGATGAAGACTCGGATGTGAACATCAACGTCAATGTGCATATGGGTCCAATAACAAATCATCCTAACAAAGATTTGAAAAGTAGCTCAAGAGTCTCGAGTCTTGGCAAATCTAGCTCTGCCAAGTTGGCTACAAGTCCAAACACTGTGAAGATTCTTTCTAAAGAAAATAAGCAGCCTTTACCGTCGTTCAAGAGACTCTTGGCAATGAATTTACCAGAACGGAAACAGGCATTGTACGGTTGCATAAGTGCAACCTTGTATGGAGCCATAATGCCAATATACGCATATTCTTTGGGGTCGATGGTATCAGTGTATTTTCTTACAAGCCATAACGAGATCAAGGAGAAAACAAGGATCTACGCATTATCTTTTGTCGGTCTATTCTTGCTTTCTTTCCTGCTCAGTATCATTCAACACTACAATTTCGCATACATGGGAGAATGTTTGACGAAACGTATCCGAGAAAAGATGCTCTCTAAGTTGCTAACCTTTGAAGTCGGTTGGTTCGATCGAGATGACAACTCAAGCGGTGCCATTTGCTCTAGACTCGCGCAGGATGCTAATGTGGTAAGAAATCTTATAAGTTTCTTTCAGTGAACAGAATGTTATAGCAATTAATATTCTTGATATATTTGTTCTGTTAGGTGAGGTCGTTGGTTGGTGATCGGATGGCATTGATGGTACAAACCATATCGGCTGTAACAATTGCATGCACGATGGGCTTAGTCATAGCTTGGAGGTTAGCACTTGTGATGATAGCTGTGCAACCGGTGATGATTGTTTGCTTCTATACTCGCCAGGTTCTACTCAAGAACATGTCAAGAAAAGCGAGCAAGGCTCAGGACGAGAGTAGTAAACTAGCCGCAGAGGCAGTTTCCAACGTGAGAACCATCACGTCCTTCTCATCGCAAGAACGTATCATGAAAATGCTTGAAAAGGCCCAAGAAGGCCCGAGAAGAGAGAGCATACGTCAGTCGTGGTTCGCAGGGTTTGGGCTTGCCATGTCGCAGAGCCTCACGGCTTGTACTTGGGCTTTGGATTTCTGGTTTGGTGGTAAATTGATTGCTGGTGGTTACATCACTGCTAAAGCTTTTTTCGAAACGTTTATGATCTTGGTTAGTACCGGTCGGGTCATTGCTGAGGTTGGGAGCATGAACACGGAACTAGCTAGAGGTTCGGACACGGTCGGGTCGGTTTTCTCTGTGTTGGATCGGTATACATCAATCAATCCGGAGGATCCAGATGGATATGAACCGAAAAGAATAACGGGTCGGGTCGAGTTTCTTGATGTGGACTTCTCGTATCCAACTAGACCGGACGTGATGATATTCAGAGATTTCTCGGTTGTTATCGACGCCAGGAAGTCGACTGCGATTGTTGGTCCAAGCGGGTCGGGTAAATCGACGGTAATCGGGTTAATCGAACGGTTTTATGACCCGGTAAAAGGTGCTGTGAGAATCGACGGTCGAGATTTGAGATCGTATAATCTTAGATCGCTTCGACGACACGTAGCTTTGGTTAGCCAAGAGCCAACGTTATTCGCGGGAACGATCCGAGAGAACATCGTTTACGGAGGAGGAGTCGATGACGAATCAGAGGTCATCGAGGCAGCGAAGGCAGCGAACGCTCACGATTTCATCACGTCGTTATCGGACGGCTACGATACGTACTGTGGAGACAGGGGAGTACAGTTATCAGGTGGACAGAAACAGAGGATAGCGATCGCTCGAGCTGTTTTGAAGAACCCTTCGCTGTTGCTACTCGACGAAGCGACGAGCGCTTTGGACAGCCAATCGGAGCGCGTGGTGCAAGACGCGCTAGAGCGCGTCATGGTCGGGAGGACGAGCGTGGTGGTCGCGCATAGGCTGAGCACGATCCAGAACTGTGACGCGATCGCTGTTCTTGACAAAGGGAAACTCGTTGAACATGGGACCCACTCGTCTTTGTTGGCGAGAGGTCACACAGGTGTTTACTTCTCATTGGTTAATCTCCAGAGAACTTCTTGTTAAAAATATATATTCGGAGACAAACTCTAAATTCTAAGGAATATATCAATTCCTCTGTTTTCGTAACAGAGAATAGTCAAGCTGAGAATCTTGTGTTCAAGAAATAGGTGAACACGCTTTACTTGTTGAAAGACTTTATCCATGGAAGAATTTCTTGGAAACTAAGGATCTGCCACAATATTCATGAACATCATAATAGGTTAATAAACATAGACACATCTTTTTGCTCACCATGACTTGAGAAGTTGAGAGACGTTATCAGGTTCTGGAAAGAAAAAGAAAAAGAAAATCTGAAGTCCTAAGTGAGGCAATGTCTGTGTCCGGGAACTCTTGAGATGGTGATACAAATGCAGAGTCAAAATTTTATCTCAGCTCCGACTAATACCGTCAGATAAGAAACTGAGAGAGGTTTCTTCACAAGCTAGCTACAACTCCAAGATGGAGAATCCCTGACATTGCTTGTTCCTCAAAAAACAAGTTGATGACTTCAAAAGCACAATATACAAAGCCCCATGGATAAGAAGAGCTTACCATTCGTGGATCAAAGAACAACGCAACAGTTGGAAGAAGTCAAGCGCTAAGAGAAAAATAAAAATCTCAATATAAGGAAAGATAGAGAAGGAATCACATATCACACCACTTTCGTCACATTCGAACACACGCACAAGTTGAAAACCAGAGAGCATCATCATCTCTTAGATTCCAAACGCCGTGAAAACCGGTGAACATCATCGCATCTGTTTAGATAGACCGATGAACATCTTCAATCAACACAGTGTAACTTGGAAAACATTGATTTGTTTATACGGGGATTTTGATGAATTAAAACATCGTTGACATGGCTCGTTTTATAACAAAAGGAAGAAGATGAGGTTAGTCTAGTTTGTTCTTTTTCTTGTTGTTGATGTTTGAAAATGCGATTTTTGCTATAAGGAACACAACGTACATCCGCATTATGAATCTTAAAAAGAAGAAGTAATCGTTGTCCTTTTGTAGAAGAATGTATAACGGAATAAGAGTGCCGATGATTAGAACTTGCATGATGACGCTATAAACCACCGTATCACAACTGCATAAATATATATAAAATAAAACCGATTTCAAAACAAAATAAATATATATATAAGTTAGAAGAAAAGATATGGATACATGTATAGTTTAGCTTGTTAAAAAGAAGATGGAAATTTTAATTTGGAAATTAATTAATAAATTCTAGCTAGACTCACAAAAGCATGGGCTCATCCCTGACATCCTCGAGTATTTTCCTGAATAAAGTATCATGAGCGTCTGATACTTCTTTAGCCGAGACGTTACTAGCTTTGTCGCAAAATTTTTTCAAAACATTCTTAGCCTCTGTTATTTCCTCAGCCGAAACCTTTTTATTTGCCATGGCTTCTCCTCTGAACGATAGAAATCAAAATTTTGCTAAAATGAATTTGTTTAGAGATTGTGAGTAAGAAGAAATCAAGACAGATGTCCTTGGCATATATATAGTCATGTAACCAGGGCTTGCCCAAATTCATTTGACGTCTAAAGCGTACCGTAAAAATGATGTCTTTAATCGAAAAAAAAAAATTAAGATCTATTTTTCTGGTTAAAATCGATTTTTTAAGCTTAACATCTATTTTTTAAGCCTAGAATCGATTTTTTTAAGCTTAAAATCGATATTTTTAAGCTTAAAATTGATTTTTTTTTAAATCTAGTATCAATTATTTTAAGTTCAGAATCAATTTTTTTTAAAAATATTGATTTTTAATGAAGAGATAATGACTCTTATTTATAGGGCAACTTTTCATTCACATTTAGTGTAGTTGGGCGATGTAGGACAAAACACACTTTGACACTTATAAAAAAAATTTTGGGCTTTTTTGGCTGCTCCAAAATTTGATTTCTTTTGAGCCGCCCAAAGCAATTGCTTCACAGGCTTTACCTCTGGGTCGGTCCTGCATGTAACATTTTAAGTTAGGCCTTGTGTTGGGAGTCTTGACTCGGAGAAGAAGCCTTTGCCACCGGTGATGGAGACTTTTGGAAGTGTGTTGTTATCATCTCTATTTTCCGCTAACTCTGTGAATATTACAGCTACGAATAGTGCAGAAATAAAAAGAGCGTGGAGTGCATTAGAGATAGTGATTAGCCTAAAAAAACCAAAAATTATGATATAAAAATAATAGAAAAGAGTACTTTACACACAACAAATGAAACGAATATGAAAGAAAGAAGTCTTACTTTTATTTTTGACGTAAAGTACTAGTGGATCAACTACAAAGAAGTTTGGAACGTTTGGTTGAATCCATAAAACAAACTTAGAGCAACACGGTTGAGAGAGTGTGAAGAATGAAAGATATTTAATTTGATACCGATGAATAGTGATTATCTTTTTTATTTTGTCTCAAAACTTTTCATGATGGTCCTATAGATTTTCAAATACTTTTAGAGTTTCTTATCTTTCATATTTTGTACTAACTATGTACATTTGGTAAGGATCATGGTGTGTAATTATTTTCATATTAGTACTTACATATTCTTGTGTGCATTTCATATTAATATTTGGTTTTCATATTCTCGTGTACGTGTGTAGTCATTTACTATCCTTTAAATCATATTTTGTTATGGTTCCCAACAGAGAAAGATAATTCATCTTTTTTTTTCAGGTTTATCACTATCTCCAATGCATTTAATGGACTTCTAATCGCATGAATCTTCCTTGCTATCTGGAAATAACCGGAAACAGAGATAACAGAGACAACAATGACACTTAGCAAACATTCCTTCACTGGTAGCAAAATCTACTTCACCAACTCAAGAGACTCACAACATGAGAGATTCTCCGCCTTGTGTTGTTTGGAGTTATGTTTGTTATTTACCTTTTGACAAAATTCGATGAGTTTTCAATCCTTTGCTCTTTCTTAGTTTACAAGAAACTTGTTGATAGCTTAGTCTTTTCATAGCGTGTGCAAGAGATGAATCCTCAAGGAATTATTAAAGAAAGAGGACAAGTGTTCGATAGTGCAAAGGAATCAGGCAGAAAAGTCAACATTGACATTCATCGTTGTATATTAGAGTGGGATAGAATCATTCTGGTTGCCCAAGGGATCAATAGAGTGACGGCTAACGAGGGGACACCAAGAGAGGGCATCGATAACTGCTAATTAACCAGACCTAGATGATGATGACTTTTAATTCTTTCTTCTCTGTTTCTATATAGTTGTAATTATTTTTTAAAAGTTAAGTTAAATTTTGTTGAAATATGAAAGACGAAAAAATATTGATAGAATAAGTTAGGTCGATAACTTAACAAATAAATTACTGTTTTGAGTAAAAAAAATGATATCTACAAAATTAAATGGACATGTAATTCGGGATTTTGTCTCACACTTGACATGTTCTAAATAGATAATTATTCTAACAAATATCTGTGCAGTACAAGAAATTAATGAAGGAAATGGATCAACAAATAATTTGTCCCCAATGGGTCGTTTCTTGATTTTACAACTTACATAAAACTAGGACGGTTTCTGAATCTCATAAATAACAAGTCAACCTCGCATGATTTTCACATTTGTCTTAAATGTTTCAAATATAAATTGTTTATATTAAATAGGAAAACAAATTAAAACTTCTTAGCATAACTTAAAATCACACAACTACGTTAAACAAAAATACATGACTAATATAGATACAAATTACAAGGTATGGGCTTTTGGGCCTAAAGATCATCAAGAGAATTTTAGATTGTCTCCATTTTTGTGGCAACTACGATTCTTTGTTCCCATTCTGCCATGCACCAATCAATACGATCCCAGCCTGCTTTAACAGCTTCCGTTGTACTATCAAACAGTTACGAAATGTATAATATATCTCCAGAAGAGTGAAAATTATGAAGAATGATACCATTGTCAACAGGCTCACTCAACACTGTGTCGATTATATAACAACAAAAAAATACGTTTAAAAAGTATGCTAGTAATAAATGTTGTTTTTAGACAAAATGTATTACAATATTCTCTCAGTTCAGAATTATTTAATAGTTTATGACTTTTTATGTTCTACAGATTTTTTTCTTATTGATTGGATTATATTTAAATTAATTATAAATAATATTTTTAGTGTAGAAAAAATAAAAATTTAATAAATTCTTAATTTGTGTGCAATAACCTTAAACATCAAATAATTCTGAACAGATGGAGTATTAAAATAAGGGTTCCACAAGTTTACCCTCACTTCTAAAAAAAATGCAGATTAAACCTATGAAAATGATTCTAACCCGCAATGTAGCTTATTCACGTTTCTTTTTAAGAAAATTATGATTATATACATCAGAAATCATATATATTATAAGCAAAGTAAAATTTTGAATCAAAGCTCTCTCATTCAATTTTAGGGTGGCTAATTACCCTTTACCTCTTCTCAATATTTTTTAAATTTAAATCTAATAAAAATTATTAAAAATCGTAAATTTATTAAAAAATATTAAAAAACGTAAATTAATTAAAAATTATGAAAAATTGTAAAATTAATAAAAAAATATTTAAAATCAGAATTTAATAAAAAAAAAGTTTTAAAATTGGAATTTAATCAAAAAACATTTAAAATCATATCATATATAATATATGCACAATAATTTTTTCGCTATAAGCTCTCTCATTCAATCTAGGTGACTAATTACTCTTTATTCTTTAATAAAATATTTTTAAATATCCTTAATTAATTAATTTATATTCATAATTTGTATAACAATTTTGCTGTTATTTTCATACAAATTATCAAAATAAAAGAAGAAAAAAACGGTAGATGAAGAAAATAAAGTATAAGAAGATGAAAACC